ATTTACAGGCACGACTGCGACAATAGTTGAATAGAGCGCATTGGCACATCAGAAAACCGCAAACCTCGAGCGCGAGAGCGAACTGCCAAGCCGATATATTCCGTAAACCGATGTGAAAAAGCGGAGAGGTGGCCGGAATTAGCATACCGCCGAATGGAATTACGCTGCCCTTGGTAATATTTTTACGCGACGTAAAGTGCGAAAAAGGTGGCAAGCACATTCTTGAGCGGTATTATCGGACCGGCGACAGTGTGTCGCGATCTAAAGACTATTTTTCATTACTTTATATATATACACACACACACACACACACACACACACACACACACACACATATGTACGCACACGACGATAACACTAATTTTATATTAATTTTGTTCTGTCTCGACTCAACATAATTTATCTATTTTTGTCACCTTCATAATAAATTGCTGCTATTCATTCATCCGTACTATTCATTCCTCCATTAATGATTAATTGAACTTTAGCAATAACAAGAGCGATAGCAGAACGGCATAGGAATAACGATTACTACTTATTGTCTACAGACACCGGATAGCTGCAGAGATATCGACCGGGGGAAGTACAAAGACTTCACGTTCGATCACTCCTACTGGTCCTTCGATTCGAACGACGAAAATTATGCGTCCCAGGAAGAGGTTCATATCAATATTTTTTTTATCAAAATTGAAATAAAAACTAGGACAAAAATCATTCGCTCGAGAGATTTCGCGATCGAGTGACGAAGTTATTCGAGTGACGAAGCTATCAACCTTGAAAATACATGAAACATTCGCGACGACGTTACCGTACATGGAAAGATGAAACCGGTCGACTTATGCTCGCATAGCTCGTTATAGTTAACTTAATTGCGCGATAGCAAAGTACAAACAAAAGAACTGCGAGAGAAAGAGAGAGCGAGGAAGAGAGCGAGTCTCGAACACGACAAACAATTGTAATAAAAATTAACTTTTCTAAGGATATAATATAATCAGCAGCCACAAAGCCACATCTATCACAATGTCGTAACAAAAACTTTAAGTTCGATTAGTGTTTCGAACAAACATTTTTAACAAATGAAAAACCGTCAAAACATAATCATCAATCAAAATGATCTTGTTACGTAAGACATAATCGCGAGATAATCATGATAATCGCTTCGGACTACGATATAATCGTTAAAATCGGCATTATTATAGCTTAATTAAATATTATTTTGTAAAACGTGTCCGCTCGTTACGTTTCGTTGAGGCGTAGCTTGAGACTTTGACTGATGAAATTTGCTCCGTTTCCGCGTACTGAAGCGAGACGCCGCTCGTGTTATCAGACGATAAAGCGAAAAACATTAATCCAATCGTTTTCCCTTTATCTAGGTTTTCTACGATCTTGGTACGGACGTAATAGAAAGTGCCTTCGAGGGCTACAATGCCTGCGTTTTTGCCTATGGCCAAACAGGATCTGGGAAGACCTTTACAATGATGGGCACGCCGGTAATGTGATAATTCTCTAAAGTTCTTCAAAAGAATATTCTCTTTCTCTTTTTTTTTTTTTTCATTTGCTGCAAATGGAAAAAAAACTTTTGCGTCGGTGTTCCCTCAAAGCTTAATTTAAATAAATAGATGAAAGAAAAGAAAATGAATGAAAGAGAGAAGCAAAACTTTCTCATTATTACGGAACTTTTTCATCATTAAATAAACGTAATTAACGAACGATGTTACATATTCTATAATTAACTTCTCTCAACCAAATTGATATAAATTTTAAAAAAATGTATGAAATATAAAATAAAAAACTGATGTTGCAACGAGTCACGCTTTCTCCACTTTTATTCAAAGATGTAACATATTGATTTTGTCTTAAATTTCTTTTCTTCCTTCTTGTATAATTTATTATGTATTTTCAATTCGTAGGAAGCTCAGGGTTTGATACCACGTATTTGCAAGACGCTTTTCGCTAGAATGGCAGCCGGAAAGGAGAGCGGAGCGTCGTACAGAACGGAAGTATCTTTCCTGGAAATCTATAATGAAAGAGTAAGAGACCTGCTCAGACTGGACCAAAGCCAATCCCATTCGCTGAGGGTACGAGAGCACCCCACGGGAGGGCCTTATGTTCAAGATCTGTCTTGTCATCTCGTCTATGATTATTCGGACATTCAGGTGGGACGAGAAAGCAAAACGGTTTTTTAATAGCGCGCAAGTTCGATTCGCTTATCAGCTCATCATATCACTATGTACTAAAAAAAATGCAACAACGCAAAAATCCTTATGTTTCTAAAAATTATAATTATGTTAATTTTTTCTATTGTACTACAAATTATATAATAAATTTTTGATACTGTTATCTTAATATGAATAAAAATATTTATGTAAGATGAGATGATTATTCTTGTTCAGGAATGTATGGTGAGAGGTAATACGCACAGAACTACAGCTAGCACAAAGATGAACGACGTGAGTAGCAGGAGTCACGCGATTTTTACAATAACCTTCGTACAAGCCGGTCTCTCGGAAGGCAACATGCCGTCAGAGACTGTTTCCAAGGTGCATCTTGTCGATCTGGCTGGAAGGTAGTTAAAAAAAAAAGTATCCACGAATCTCGAGTTATTTTCGACTCTCTTTTCGAAAAAATGAGTGAATGAAAAGAAAATAAAACAAGAACGTCATGATGATATTTGCACGATTTTTTTTTTAAATCCGATGTTTTCTACCTATTCAGTGAACGTGCGAACGCGACTGGAGCGACGGGTCAACGATTAAAGGAAGGTGCGCACATCAACAAATCATTGGTGACTCTAGGCACTGTGATATCCACGCTCTCCGAGCTCAGTTCTGCCAGCGGTGATACCTCTGCCACAAAACGAAATACGTTTATTCCTTATCGCGACAGCGTGCTCACATGGCTGTTGAAGGATTCTCTAGGCGGTAATTCCAAAACCATCATGATAGCGACTATCAGTCCGGCGGAATGCAACTACAACGACACTCTCAGCACTCTTAGATATGCCAATCGCGCGAAAAATATTATTAACAAGCCGACTATTAATGAAGATGCGAATGTCAAACTCATTAGAGAACTCAGAGCAGAGATAGAAAAGCTGAAATCTCTCATCGATAAAAATATGGCAAGTATCTGGAATGTGCCCACGCGTTTCCTCTGTATCTTTTCTTATTATTATTTTAGAAAAAAAGATGTATTTATTTGTTATTTATAGAGCGTGGAAAAGCCGCCGCAAGTGTTATTGGCTCAAATCCAAGAGAAGCAAGAGCAAGAAAAGGTATTGACCGAGGAATGGACTGAAAAGTGGCGAGAGACGCAACAGATTTTGCAAGAACAAAAGGCGTTGGGTCTACGGAAGAGCGGAGTCGGTGTAGTTCTTGACTCGGAAATGCCGCATCTAGTTGGTATTGACGACGATCTACTTAGTACCGGTGTTACATTATATCACTTAAAAGAGGGAAAAACGTTAGTCGGCACGGACGAAGCTTCCGTTGTTCAGGTGAAAATATATAAATATAATAAAACTCTCAAATTTGTATAAAGCAAAAATTAGCCATTGTCTGAACTATCGCTCTAATCCAAATAAAAAAATCAAAGTTTGGTTCAAGACTTGATTCAGATAGGTTATTCTAATGTACCAATTAATAAAAGGTCGATTAAAACTTTCATTGTATTACAAACAGGATATTGTATTGACTGGTGTGGACGTAGAACCGGAACACTGCGTGGTCGAGCTAGATAGTGGCGTGGCAACATTACATCCACTATCACCTCATTGCTGGATCAATACTGCTCAAGTAGACAAACCAACAAGATTGTCCCAAGGTTGTATCATTCTCTTGGGTAGAAATAACATGTTTCGATACAATGATCCGGCTGAGGCAGCAAAACTCCGAAAGGAAGGCGGCTCGGGCAATGGCAATCTACAATCAACGGTCGTCAATTTATCGAGATTGTCGTTATTGAGTTGGAGCGTCTCCGATCTGCACGCATCCTGTTCTAGCGACAATCTTCTGAACTCGAGCGAAGATCTCAGGGCGGTCGAGGAATTGGAACAGCAGAAGGCCGCGCTTCTAAAGGAAAAGGAAGACTTCAAGGTTCGTAGATGAAATATTCTAGACCTCCTCATCCCCCGTTGGATCGAATTTGGATTAATCGATTCCTTGTAGAGAGAACAAGAAGAACGCGAGGAAAGATGGATCGCTAGAAGGGAAGCGCTGGAGGGAGCTCAACGTGAGTTGGAGCGCGAATGGGGAGCACAGTGGAAAGAATGGGCGGACGCAATCGCGGTCTTAGAGTCGCGTCAACGAGAGCTGCGTGCGCGCCGACATCTCCTGGAACAAGAACGGCGGGACGAAATGACGCAAGTAAGTGACACGGACGCGCCTCCGTCTCCGGACTTGAATGTAATCTCGATTAAGTACCAATTCTACCTCGTCCTTGTCGCTATCGGTGTCCTTATTTGCTTGTCTGGCAACATCATCATCTACTCGCACGTTTGTCCGTTAAATATGTGATATCTCGGTGTATCTCAATGGAGCCGCGCTCTCTTGTTCACGCGTCGCAGTACGAGATGCCACGAATTCGTAGACGAGCAGATTCTGCGAATGTCCTGACTATACAAATATCATTTGCGAAATGACGTTTCGATCCAGACCAAAATTCTTGTGATTAAGATACACAGTCCTGTCTATCGATGTCTAGATTCAGGCCTATCAGTATGTGTATTCCTCTATAGCAAGTTTTCATTGTCGTTTGTGATGAGATTTGCGTTTGCTATCCATTATCTACATGAAATTATCTTGATTCCTCTGCCGGCCTCGAGAATCCTCAAATATATTGCGTATATTTACAATTAACATATTAATACTTACAAATTGTTTATGTTAACGGATTGCGTTGATGTATATGAGTAAGCTGCTGGTCACGAAAAGGTGCTAGTGCTGAAAAGATATTGCCGGACAGAGATGGCATTCCTTGGAATGTTATATATTTAAGTACCTAGTAAGAATGTTAAGAGTGAAGTATGTACATATCTTGGGCTTGTTTGTATAGAAAATACGTCTATGGGTTTGTTATGCGAGATATAAAGATACAGAGGCACTAATTATTGTTATACTGATATATATATATATTGTTGTTTAATAAATTTTTCATACAAAAATTGGCGTTTGATCCTCCACGAAGTATCTGCACGCACTCTCACTGTTTTTTCATTCTCTCTCTTTCTCTTTCTATTTCTTTCTCTTTGTTTCTCACATAATTTATAAGAGTATGCATTCGATCGATTTAACACTCCCGATTAACAAACCCAATTTCTCGTCGTTGCACCGTCGAAGTCCGTCCGTACATGCACTATTTCGAGTCTTAATTAAGACTAAAGTACTTAGACTAAAGAAAAATCATTATTTTCCTAATGCATCGCGAGAATACGTCGCTGTTTATTAATTTTATTTATTTTGTGTAGTGTGTTTATTCATATTTTCATTTTTATTTGTATTTTTAAAAACATGCATAAAAATAAGATTACTAAAATATTTTATATATTATATATATATATATATATATATATATATATATATGTGTCGTTAATATTTATATTAAAAGTGTTACATCCATAACATCGTACAGCATCAAAAAATATTTTTATACATTCCAAGAAAGAGAATATCTTTATTTTCTCTTTACTCATTTTCAGGAACTATCTCGCGTTATTGATATTTCGTGATTGTAAAAATTTATTTATTTTTTCGTTTCGTTAAAAATATCTATCAAATTATTAATATTTAATTTTGAATCATCTTTTGTTGATTATCTCTTTTGTTAACGCATCGGTGTGTGTGTGTGTGGTACCAGGTAGAAAATATATGTAGGGAAGTCGCCTATCTGCGCACATTATTGCAGTCCAAGCATCGACAATTGCAAGAGCTCGTCAACAGTCAGGAACGCGCGCAAACTTATCAGCATCGATGGGAAAAGGTAAGGATTACATCGCGAACGAAGCCTTCGAATTCGTGTCTGTAACGCGCATGTACATTGCAAACGACACGCGATGCATACTAGCACTATATTCATATAATTTTCTTTTATGATCATCCATAAGTTGCGGACGATATAAATTCTTTTTCGACAATATTTTCTTTTATTATAACTGAAACAACGGGATGTGAAATATTCCCGATTGTTAGATAAACGTGTATAAATGTGAAAGGTCGGAAAGTGTTTCATATTGCGGTAATTAACATAATTTTATAGAAAATGAATGAAGCGAAATGTGCATTTCAGACGGATAATGGTCTCGCTAGCGACGACAGTCTGCCCGAATCTTGGTCCAGTCTCAATGACGAAAGGTGCATCGACAGTGTCAAGCAATTGATGAATCATCACGTAAGTAGATTAAAAATTTCTTGTTTAAATATCTTTTTTTTTTTAAAAAAAAATATCATTTTAAACAGAAGAAAGAACTAGCCGCTTTGGAGAACGAATTGCAGAACAAAGTCAAATCTCTGAACGAACATCAAAATAAGGTGGATAAGATGGAGAAGGAACTGATGGAAATCGCGAAGAGGCAAAAGCAAATATTCAAAACGGAAGTATGTACCCATAAAATATTAGCACTTGACAAAATTACGTATTCTTTACATCAATGATTTTTAGCTGAGCGGTGAAGGAGTAACGGAGAAGAAAATGTTGTTGGCCAAGCGGACTCAAGAACAGCTTGAAGATATCGTACGGCGTAAACAGAGTCTATCGTTAGACTTGAAACGCGTTACGCCCGCATTTTTGGACGACGATTGTTCGTCAAACGACTGCGATGAGACGGCTTTTAGTTGTAAATCCTTCCAGGAAGCAAACAACAGGAAACATCAGATTGTTGCGGACTTGAATTTGTTGCCGCAGAGTATACCGAGCTCCGACACCGCGGAAACATTCCACACAGCAGCTGCCGACTCCCCGGAACTTCGCATAGCTTTCGAGGATGCCGACACAACGTGTCTGAGTGATCAGAAAAATAAATCCGCGAACGAGGAACGAGATGACCACTTAACGCACGACGACAGCTCATCCACAGTGGACAGTAAAAACACAACGAACGCGAACAGAGCTACTTCCACGGAACTGACGAGCGACGAGGAAGGGAAGGTACAGGCGCCCGTGGTATCCACCATCCCGGAAAACATGCTCCAGGATACGCTGGAGTCGCCGGTACAGAAGAATCCGGCGATGAGAAGATTGAACCAAAGAATCGCACGTCAACGGATGATGGTGATGAGATGCCTAGATGCCGGTACACCGTCGAAGGAAGATCTCAATCGGCAGATAATGATACTTCAGGATCTACAGAGACAGCAGATCGAGTTGGAAGTGTCGCTGCTAGAGGACGAACGGAAAAGTCACTCCGCCAGGCAATCCCAGTGTGACAGCGACGGCGATAGACTCATCACCAATGAGGCCGAGAACTATGTACAGAATGAAAATGCTTACTGTAGTGTTGTAGAACCTACGAATAATAGTTCCGCCATTCTATTAACGGTAGCGCAAACCAGATCTCAACTTTTCAGGAATAACAGGCCTAATACTAACGATCAAGAGACTTTGTTGGAATCATTAGCGTCTAAAAGATCCTCCGGCCGTGGTTACTCGACAGTTTATTTGACGGTAAGTCGATATTTTTTTTTCTTTCTAGAATTAGTCTCGTGATGACACTTCAACAGACACGTTCTTTGCGCAGAGCCAGAATCGCGGCGATCGCTTGAGTAGTCCGTATTCTTTAACGATCACAAGGTCCCTGCCGTCGTTAATAGCGAATGATAACGAGTGCGTGATTAATATGATCGTCAGTGTGCCGTCATACGTGATACGTGGAGCCGGTGCGTCTAGCCATTACGAGTATGAAGTAAGAGTTGTGGCGCAGGACGACAGTTGGACGCTGCTACGTAGATACAGAAGATTCCGAGAGTTATATATATCAATGCGACAGAAATACGGTAGCAAGGTACGTTATTTCATTAAATTTTTACGGTATTTCATTAAATTGTATAACGATAATTATGAAAGGAGTCGCAACACACATGTCGCAAATATGAAAATTCGAGTAAACTATATGAAGTACCAAGTAGACCAAGTGTGCTACTTTAAGAAAGAATTTTTTTTTAATTTCTTATAAAAAATTTGGCCATAAAGAAACAATATCTGAATGTGGTCTATCTGAGTTTTAAAGAAATAGTTTTTTATTTCATATAAAAAAATTTGACCATAAAGAGATGTAAATTAGGCAGATTTAAACTACAGAAAATTCAAATTATTTCAAAATAAAATAATCACACCACTTTCATAAGCCTGAGACACGCATTGGTGAGACAATCGATTTGATGAAAGCTCTTTACATGCACACAGGTCGCAGCAATATGCTTTCCCCCACGTCAAGTATTTCCGAAGTACGAAGTCGTAGCGAGGCGACGCCAGAAACGCCTCGAGGAATACCTTCGCCGATTAATTCAAGTCTGCTCGGAACTGCCGCATTGCGAGCCACTATACAAACACAAAGGCAACCTTAGCAATATAGACAAACAATCCTTGCTAGAATTCAGCCCGTTCTTCAGACGTGGTATGTTTGAGAGTAGCAAATATGGAACTAGCTAAGGTACTATCGTGTAATTCTCATCTTTTCGAATGAAAAATGAATGAGAGAATTGAATAAGTAAGTTAATATGACAGATCTTTATAATTCATTGCATTTTTTTATTTTCCATTCTATTTATAAAAGTGCAATAACTATAGCAAGAGATATTAAATGAATTGATAGCAGACAATTTTATACAGAATGAGTCTCATAACATTTGTGAGTCGCGCACAATATATTCCTTAAATTACATATCGATTGTACGAAAAAATATGTAAAATTTTCAGTAATTTATTTTAATAGGTTCAAGAGAGTATTACAGACTGTTTTATTAATAATTGAGTTACAAATGTTAAATGACTCATCCTGCTTTGTAGTTGTTATAAAAATATATGCTTCCAGAGCTTAGCAATTGTAAGACTGGTTTGTAGAAAATGAGCGTTCTTTACTATTACTGTCTCATGTACGCGGTGAATTTGCATAGAGACATTAAAGGGAAAGCAACGTGATATATTCTTTACAAGAGAGTAAAGACCACAAGGTAAAGGCGAAGCAAAACATATCGCGTCATAGCGACTTATTTTTTCCTTTACAGATATTTTCCTAATGTCTTTCTCCCAATAGGATTCACGAAGTGTACCTTCCTTCGATATAGTCAAATCTTGTAGTTGATATTATTCTGATATTATTACGTTTATTAGCACAAACGAATATTATTGTAAATTACGAAACGACGAAAGAGCGAATTCGTCAGCAACGGTGACCATAACTTCGCATAGTTACTCAATAGCCGAAGAATATTTATTTTGTGCGTCGAATAGCATTTTATATGCGTGATCTGAAGTAGCGAATCGACTAGCGAATTGAAATTTTCCATTAGCATAATAATTGTAAGTTTGTAAACGTAGCAATGTGTTACAAGCGAGAAAGATATAAATATCTTTGTTAGAGTTCTTCCGTTTCTGAGATATCTATCGCTAGCTATATTATATATTATAGGCTATTAATAAAACTTTTACCGTTATTTTAAATCTATTTTAGAGATCCAAATAAGAAAAACATTTATATAAACGTGTGTTTAAAGATATCCTTTAAAGATTCTTAAAAAAATCAATAGTTTTTCATATTTCTTAAACACGAAATATGAAGAAAATAAAAAAAGTATATTTTTAATTTTATTCATCTTTATTTTTTTTTATTCATCTTTTTGGGAGTCACTCAAACTCTTTTTTTAATTTTTTTAAGACGAGGAAGGAGAGAGAAAAAATTCAAATTTTAAAGTGTTAAAATGTTTTTAATGCAGTGTACTCTTTGTTTCGAGACAATTTTTTGAATTGTAACTTTAAAAGAGGATATTTACGTATCTCGTGAATTCTTTATTCTTACTGTGGCCTTTACTAATAATAATACTTAATAATATTTAAAGTAACGGTAAAATATTTATTAGTATCCTGTCTATGATGCGTGTGCGCATGCGCGTGTATGAACGTATGAACGTATATGCAAGGAATTAACAAACCACTGTTAAAGTTGGAGTTGTTATGCAGTTATTAGCATTTATTTGAATTTATTAAATACTAAACCAAAGTTGATCACACAATGATTATCGATTTTGGGAAGTATCACCGTGTTGCTATGAATGACGATGTATGATCAGATCAAGCAGTATGATTCAAGTATTGAAATTTTCTGAAAAGCTTCTTATTGGCGTGGTGCAGAAGTCTTTGAGATAATATAAATCTGCTTACTCATCACATAGCCAGGGCATTTCGCATTTTACTGTCAACGAACATCAGAAATGCGATGAGAAATAAAAAAATAACACTTCCAGCTTCGAGAAAACGCTATATTTAGTAATATATTAAAATAAAATCTATATAAAAAAAACACTAAACGCCAAGTACAGTAAATATGCTTTTCAGTAGTACGATAAAAAAAAGTATTTATTCCATGGCTGTGTGTAACCTGGACTTCGAGAAAACCCCACAGATTCATCCTGGCTAATAATTAATAAACTAATTAGCGAACTCGACGTTCTAGAGCAACGATACTATTCAGAGGCGCATACCGCATACTAATCGAGATGTGTATAATCGAGGCAGTTATTACTTATATTCGAACAGACATTACCTCACGTTTCATACGATTCACTGCGATCATCTCGTAGTTATCCGCTTTTTTTATACATGAATCTACGAGACCTATGTTCCATAAATGTAACAATGGAGTACAATAAATTGTTATAATGCAGCGCATTCTTCCGCTTTGTGTATCACATGTCGCCGCGATGAAATGTACCGCCTGTTTCCACAACGAGGCGCGTTTTCATAAACTCGCTTCGCATAGAAAAATACTAAGTAATTACATCCTCTAGCATTCTATGTTCTATTCTTGCTATATTAAAAATTTAAATTATTATTTTCCTTTTCTGAGCATTTTACGACATTCACACTTACATATTCACACTCAAATGCGTACATATACACATTCATACTTGATATACCTTAATACAATTCTCTGACAAATGTCTAAAAATGTAGGTACTCTTCGTCTTGATTTTTTTAGATCAGAAAGAGTCATATAAACAAATTCAAAAAAAAAAACAAAGATCTTGAAAAAAATGGAAAAAAATGAGTCCCCCCTTAGTCAATTTTTTTGCAATAAATTTTTGCAATACTAAATAATAGGATAATTTATCATACCTCAATTTAAATGAAAACTTGTTCGCTCGCTAAACTATCGGCAAACGGCGCGACAATCACTCTCGTGGCAAAATAAAACGTCAGACCGAATGTGATAGAAATCGGTAACGCGGGCAACGCTTTCTTGAATATGGCCAGCAACAGCAACGTCAAACAGAGGCCCTGTATAGAAAGTAATCAATTAGAAAAATTCTATCGATGCGCATTTCAACGAACATATTTAAATACATACAATAAGAATAGCAACGAAACAAGCCAATGTAGTATTCCAGTCTCCATAGCTAGATGCTTTTCCAACGAGCACGCTATAAAATATGAAATCTCCGAGACCTAACTTAACTCCACGCTCTTCCTCGGCAACTGCAGGTTGCCCTTGCGATTCCCGCGGGCGACTGTCTTGTTGTCTCGTGCTTTCACTTAATGAAGACGAGTTCTCGCGCACTTCTTGGGCGCGCCTCGCGCTACGTTCGTCTGTATAATAACGATTAATTCACTTCTTTATTTCAAAAATCACCTTAAGATTAAATTTTTTGGATGTATTTGCTAAATTAAACAGTTATATAATTTAGATATTTAGTCTGTATAAAAAACACATATTATTTTACTTTATTAATTTTTATATAATTTTTCTATTAGATATTTTATTAATTCATACCGTGTGTTTCTACCCATTCAGGAGTGAAACCTCCTTCTTCTGCATCGCCTGATGCTTGATTATTTTGATTGTCTGCTTGGCCACGCGTAGGAGACGCCGCTGTGTCTCCAGAGGCCATAGTAGCTGCTTGTACATATCCAGCGTAAGTTACGGTAAACGAGTACAACACAGTGGAAGAATATATTAGTGCAGGAAAAATAGATTCATTTCGTTCCTGTGCTGTTTCGACGAGTATTCTTAGCGGTCCTTTTGGTGTTAAAACCGCGATCAGATCTAAATGCAGAAAAAATGTAAAATCATCGATATACATGTAAAAGTTTCTATCATCAGAATATCTTACCCCAAATACTTATAACACCGAGGACAACCCATGCTGTCCACTCAGGTAAATATTTAATAAAAACGAGTGCCATCAAAGCAGAAATAAAGATCAGATATGCCTGTTGAAGTTGCAATGGCCCTTGCCAATGAATACAAATCATTCCAACTACGCCAAAATTCCATAAACCTATACCTAACGTGAATAGATCCATTGGAATATTATAAGCTTTCAATACTTGCCTGTAAGTAAAAATTCATTATAATTTTCTTTTTAACATTAAACATTAAATTGGGTAAAGTATTCAGATTATTTTATACTTACTCGCAATATAAGGCAGAGAACATTGAAAGCAAGAGAAGAGAACTTATAATTAGCCAGCCATGTATGACTTTATAAAATCTGTATTTATAAAGAATGATAAGTATCACAGTCATAAATACAATAACGCTCATGAGAATCAGTGAGTTGGCGAACGCCTGCCAAACTTTGGTACTCGTGTCCGAGCTATCCTCATGAAACGGAGTGTATACTCTAAAAAAAATCATCATTTGGATAAATCCATATCAATTGCATAAGATATAAAAAATTGTATTATTGCAAAACTTACAAGTACATTCCCTTAGTTGTATAGAAGTTCACTGAGCTAATAGTTGCCACCACAACTAACATACACAGCGAAACAGGGACAAAAAGCTTGATCACATGCGCCGCACCATATTTCAAATCTTCCTCTTCCTCGTCTCTGTAATGCCTTAGTATACCTTGATTATTGTTACCGGATGTGCCTCGTCTGTTCAGTCGACTGACGGTTGTACCTGGTGCTTCAATCTGCACCCCAGGAATCCCATTTTCCACCTATAACATTGGATATCTTTAACATTCTAAAACATGTTCCATCATAGAAAAGATCAATTATATTTAGAATTAATAAAAGAAATCTTTTTAAATAAAAGACAGAAAATTTTTCACTGAAAGAGTTACATCATTGAGACTCCTAGAACGGCCCTTCCGACGATCGTTGCCCAGGATCAAGTCGTCCGTGCGAGACTCCGCGACGTGACCGTCCATCAGGCTTGTATACTCGTTCGCTGAATCGTAATCACTCTCAGACATTCATCAAAGTCTGTGTTTCTGGACGAGCGGACAGAAGACTCGTTTCTCGACAGCTTCTATTCCGTGCTATTTCGGACACTCTCGACACGCCTTGCGGTTTTGTTCCCTCGAACACGTCGTGTCTACATTAGAAAGAGAAACAAACAATTACAGCTTACATTCAATTTAAATTTTCTCGTCTCTTAAATCATTCTAAATCATTCGTTTTATGAATAAAAATCTTGCTTGACAATCGTTTACAACCTCTCTTTCTCTTTCTCTCTCTTTCTCTCTTCAACACTGACTCACTGTGCGACCATCTTTAAAAAAAAAGTACAAATCTACACTCTATTACACTCTCTACACTCTCACTCAAAATAAGTACGTTCGTACAATATGTAATCATGTGGCTTCTCGAAATTTTACGACTTTTATTCGGGTGACTCTCGTTTGACCACGTCCCGATTGACCCCCCCCCCCACGTCCCACTAGCCACTCATAGGGGCCAGCGCCTAGAATTTTTCTATTGCTCAAACGGGTGTCATCCCTTTTGTTCATTTTTACTGATGTAAATTAACTTTAATTATACAAAGAGTAAATTAAACTGAGATTAAAATTAATTTACATTGGTGGAAATAAACATTATTCTTAGAAATCAAAAAACAAATATAAACTAAATTAAACCCGAAATTAAGGTTAATCTACATTGATAAAAATGGACAAGAAATTTCTTTTCTAAAATCTCATGATTTCAGATATCCGATTGATAAAAATAAAATAGAATACCCTGATGATTTCTTTATCCATAAATGATCAATAGAAGCTCGCGTTCTGTAGGAAATTCAGCTGGCTACATTGTTTCTTTAGAAAATAAGTCATTCAATTGGTCATCAATCATTTGATATCGTGTAATGCACACATAGGAACGAGTCGTCCATCAGTTTTTCGCTATGTCAGAAGGAGGAATAACGTTGACCAATCAGAATGCACCTGTATCTCTGAATTTCTTCCCTTAACCCCCCTAATCTCCTCGACAGCGACGCGAAGCGGGTTTCGACGCGGCAAAATAGTGAAGAGCGGCAAGCGCAGGCGGCGAGTTTATTTTCACGAGAAAGTTTGGTACTCGGGAGACCGCACCTAGCGTTGTGCGTCCAGTTTCTATCACGATCTCCATTGTAAATATGCTGTGCTAGTAACGTGAATGTCAGACACAATGAGTTTTTCCAGTGATGAGGTCAATTTCCTGGTCTATCGATATCTACAGGAATCCGGTATGCCAACTTTGCTTATAACCTAACAATTCATCTCGAGAATGCCGCTTTGTCTTCTTTTTCTTTTTCGATTTGGAGTTGACATCAGGTTCCTAAATCAAAAGCCTGGATAAGTAGGATTAAGTAGAAAAAAATGGAGTTAATGAGGAAATAAGAGAAGTTTCTATAAACGAACGAAGGAGAAGCATCAACCGCTTTTGTACCTATTGTATTTGTGTGGCGAGAACTCGTGTTATTTCAATGCGTTTTACAATTGAATAATTGATATCTGTCAAGTATATTTGATAAGCTGCAAGAAAATTAGTGGTGAGAAGGGACGAATTGGAATTCGGATGATG